ATGCCCCGAATTTGTTCTCGCTTTTTTTGTTATAGTTCCAGTGTCTCGATGAATTAAGTACCATACATATGCCATTAAAATATAGACGATGTGTAAAATGTAAGGTTTTGGTGTATTTTTTGCACTGACAAAACCTTAGGAAACCTGTTGTATCAGAAGTTTGTTCGCTATCCTAGCTTGGGCAGTAGAAACTTTGCCTGAACGGTTGAATTCAATAACGATGATCGCATTTACATTGGTAAAGGCTGTGGAGCGTTAAGAACTACATTAACGGAGCACAATAGAACCATTACACATCGTAACGCTGAATATTGTGGTTTCGTTGTTCGTGCCGTGGAAAACGGTATCAAACGATGTCACATCGATCAACTTTGAAGGTTGTTAAAGAATCGTTTCGAATCATAGCCAGCCAAAGCAGAACAAGTAAACGTTGCTTCATCTCGATTGACACTGTCATCATTTGAAACCGATGTAGCGACTGATTCAGCATTTCATCAGTTGTTCAAGCACAAGTTGACTCAGGAGTTGTTTAGCAATTTTGTTCATTCCGCAAAATTATTCGTAGCTTGAAAGGTTAGCGCAGCATCTCTGATAGAGTTGCAGTTTCTGGTTAGGGGGGGGAGCTGGAACTAAAACCGTTCTCAGATATAACCTTGGAAATGACGGTAGTTAATGATTGCATTAATTCTTTAATTGATTATTTGCAGTAACACATCTTTCGAGCACTTGGATAGGTAATTTCTTCTGTGCTAAATATGTTCTGAGCTATTTTTCGTTGTTGCTTTCCACGGTGTTCGAAATAGCAACGTAATTTTCAGGCTCATGTTTCTTACATTAGGGCTTGCCAACTGAATGTTATGTTTCAGATGACGAACTGGAAAGAAAGCTTAGCGGTTACTTTACGTCAATATTTGACTTTGATCAGAGCTCTTTCACGCCAAGTCCAGTGGCGAAGGAGGAAGAGCAGGCGACTGACGAGGACACCAAACTGCAAATCGATGTTGATCCACAAGTAAATCCCATCATGTTCAGAAAAAGGTTATTAAAATCTTGTTTTTTTTGACTGACGAAATGTTTAACAATGAGTTTCGATTACAGACGACCTGGCCGCGGCCGGCCAAAGTTGCTTGGCGATGAAATTGATAACAGGTTGATGCTGACGCTGTTGAAGATTAAGAAAGACGGCATTCACATAACACCCAGTGTTGTGGCTTTTGTTGTAAGGAGATTGCTGTCTACCCATCGTCATGGTTTGTTGAAGGAAGAAGGTGGCGAATTTGAAGTTAGATTGGCGTGGGTTCGATGCGTCATGAACAGATTCGCTAAGTTGTGTGCCAAACCTCACTAATCTTTTGATGGCGAGGTGCTTTGATCGCTTTGTACCTATTTGCTATTTCTTTTTAAATAATTGCTATTTTTGACATTTTCTCAGCAGAGGTAAATCATGTACATGAATTTGTAATAAAATTGTTCAAATTATGAAAAACCTGTTTTTGTTGCCTTATAGCCATGCGCACATTTTTCGTTATGTTGTATAGTGCTAGTAGAATGATTTAAAATCATTTATGGTTTTATGCATTTTTCTAAATAGTGAAAGATATTTTCAGCTCTAGCATGATGTTGGGGATATCTGTTTCTCTCTTCAAATTCTGATATTTTACTTTGTGTTCTTGCGCGCCTTGTTTCGGAAATTTAGTTATTCGGTATTGTTTTCATACACTGCGATTGCTTAATTTTCCGTACAGATGTACCCACCTTAAACAGTCTTCTGGGTAACTTAAAACAAATGTATACACCCAGCGTCTATTCTGGGAAAATCTCATAAAGTTGCATGAACGCTGAATATTTCGTATTTTATTCGAGGGAGCAAAATAATCGAATCATTTCAGGATACAAGCATTTGGACTAAATTGTCACTATTCTTTGTTGGAATCACAGTGAGAAAGGTGAAATGTAATGTTAATATTTATATACAGCCATAAAGGCATATTTAGATTATTTATAGTGTGCGTAATGTCCTTTGCGATACGGTGCCGTTCGGAGTTTAGCATCTGAGTTTATTCAGATGCGATCGCCTCCAGATGTGCAAATGTTCTCTGTGGCTTTATGATCCAAATCTGCTTCGTCGTTTTCTAAATGACAAGTTGCGGTTCACGCCAATGATGATGCCATCAGCTTTATTTTGCGATCTTCTTCCATCGTCCTTTCTTTCGGGTCGAGGAGGCAGACGCGTCAGACAGTGCTTTCAACGTTCCTGATCCTGTGCCAGAGTCTGAACTTCAGCCAAAGACAAATGGAGTCTGGAACAGACTCCTTCCATATGTTTGCACCAGGTTAATTTTGGCCGTCCCCTGGGCCTTCTGCCGGTCGGATTTGCATGGAACAGTTGCTTAGCCTTCCTTTCTGGAGGCATTCTCAACACATGCCCAAGCCGTCGCAGCTGTGACTTCTCAATCTGGAGAAGCAGAGCTCTTCCGGATGTCAGTATTCCGTAGCATGGCGAGACGCGAAAGGCCCGCGACTCGTATATGAAAACCCATTTCAGCAGCTTGTACCCGGGTTACAATTTTTCAGTGATGGTTCACGATTCATGACCGTAGGTAAGCATGGGGATA